CAATAAAAGCACAAACCCAATGGAGGCTTCTCAGGCAGGGAGTGTGTGTGGGAACTTTGGGATTTTAGCCTTTTTCTGTCCATTTACGTATTTGGACAAAAACCTATATAATATAACATTACTACGTCAATTAATTTGTGTATCCACCTTTTATTCGGATCAGCTCGAACATTTTGCTCATTCTACAACCATTCACAAAGTACCATGAAATCTGGTAGTTTTTTCTGTACTCCTGCTGGCAAACAAACTGTCAAACACACTATAAGACCAACAGAGCAAACATATAACCTTCTTGGCAGAGGTAATAATAATAATATACTCATTGCATTACAAATCATACTGTTTGCAGTGAGCAAAGGCACACACGTCTACCCTTGACCCAGAGGCCTGCAGAAGGGACTCGTTTAACAATATAAATATTAGCTTTAGGCCTGTATGAACAAAATCATTCATTTATCCTACAAGAAGCAGGATCCAAACTCATCAGCGACTGTAAAACCGAAACACTACCTGCTAACATTGTGCGATTGCAGCATTAGAGTGAAACAGCTATAGCATCCATAATGTAGGGTGTAATCGATTAGCCTCAGCACACAGCCGTTTAATATTGCATATTGCAGGGTTCAATCACATTCAAATCAATGATAAAGTGACCTAATGGAGAGCACCTGAGTGGATTTAAGGCAGAAGAGTATAGTATCTGTCCACTTGTTTTCCATCGTAAAAAGCCTTATTTTTGTTTAGTTTGTTTTTAAATAACAATTCAAATTCCATAATCCAACAGACTGATGGACAATCGTTACTAGATGTCCCCTGAGAAACTGCTCAGGGAACATGTAATCTTCCCCAGGGGGTGATATAACTCTGCATTACAGAAGCATATCCCTCTCATTATTTAGTTTTAATACTCTGAGACGGCTTTCGGGCGAGGATTAACGAAGCAGGGAAGTTTGGCAGAGAGACACAGAATGCTGTGGTACTTTATTTCTTTTCAGGAACTTTTAAAAGCAAAAATGAGGATAATCTTTATTTTTCCTACTTTTTTAATTAGTACTGAATTTCTACTTACTACTATAACCAAATGTTTCACATACTTTTTATACTTAAAATGTTATTCAGACCAGCCATTTTGGCATACAATGATACATTTTAAATATACAACGTAAGTTTATTTGATGAAGATAAATCTGGCCATTATAAACTGTTCTTGTCAATTTACATACACAATGATCCCCACATTGAACCTGTATTGCATCTCTTCACCCAAACGGTGGTCTTCTTACTCCACCTTTTTCAGTGTGGCCACTTGGAAAACCTACACATTTGTTTTATATTTCCTGAGGTTTGAATACGTGTTAATTAATTAACTAGTTCTGAATGATTACATCCCATTCATTATAGATTTTGTATTATGCCTTATTATCTAATTATATCTCAGTGTATGGACCAGAGTAGGAACAAAATGTTTTCTAATGTTGTGCAGCATGTTAAAAAAAAGTGGGGGAAATAATTGCTGAGTTTACACATGGTGCAGACTTAATGGCTTATAAACACTTCATAACTGTTTACCCTAAAAAGTGCTACAGATGCCGGAGTTGATTCAGTTATTTTTAAAGGTGGGACAATGTTTGGTATATTACGGGAATAAGAGCCCACTGAGGCCTAATCCAATGTTCATAGGTATTTTTGAAAACATGGTTAGTTCTCCAAAAACTCTTGTTAGCAAGGTAAGACGTGCGTCATTGCACAAAATGTCTCCCTGTGTTCATGTCAACCCTGAAAACAGAGTTGCTCTAAATCTTTACCCTGGAAAGGGTTTTGCAAATGGTCAGTCTTTCAGTGACCTAAAACGCCTCTGTGTGTAGAAAGAAAGCTACATTGAAGAAATACCTGTGTACCTGCGGTCCTGGCCTGAGGCTGCATATGTACAGGACGGAGTTGTTGTGCTGCAAACTCCCACTAACACAAAGAGACAACCAATCCTTTTGCACCTTTCGCTATTGCTGTGGTCCCCGGTTAAAGAAATGCTGAGGTGGTGGGAGAGTGCTTCATCCCAATGATCAATGATGGTCATTCAGCTGGCATTAAGTATTTATGCATTGTGCCTACAGCATGTTAAGTGTGACTTAATAACATTGAAGCAAACTGCTTCTTAAGTATAAGGCCTTATTTATGAAATAGAGTAAGGATTCTTCAGCGTCTTTTTCTTCACTTTTCTGAGTAATTTTAATCATGATGCCAGCCTCAGAGTTTCTTATGTTGCTCTTTGATAACAGACTCCATCACTTTTCCCTCCAATAACCATTATTCAGTATTAAGTGTCACATTGTACCTTGTACATTTAAATTTGAATGCATTTTCTTGCACACTTCATGTACATTGCCCTTCATGGTGTAGATAGTCCAAATTGGGATCAATAAAGTAAGTCTTATCATTCACAATAATCAGACCTGCTGAAAAGGCAGTCACAATAATGTTCTAAATCAGGGGTGTCCAAACTTTTTCCCCGAGGGCCACATACAGACAAATATAGGAAGGGCTGGGCCACTCACTAGAGGTGTATTACCTCTTAAGTTCAGTAATAAGTTAGAATAATCAATCCAATGTAGGTAAATTATTCTTGATACTTGAATATGCTTTAAGAAAACAACACCCTACATCACAGCTCTCCAAATGGTTTCATTTATTTTGTTAGCAGCTTATTCCTTTAAAAAGAAGCTTCAGATTGCTTATAATAAGAGGAAATATGAAGGGTATATTTCAAGGTTGTTGTGTAAATGTGATATTGGGCTTTTTTATTATCAACTTAGATTTGTTAGAACATGTTTTCAACTTTAATTGACTGAATTTATTTGAAAATTGGGCTTATTAACACATGAATACTGTGGGATGTATTTGAAGTACAATATAAGACAAGCAGAAGTTTATTATACTTAAGTCATTATACCTTTTGAATTTGCTGGGGGCCGATTCAAAATGGTCCACGGGCCGCTTTTGTCCCCCGGACCGTAGTTTGGACACCCCTGGTAGCTCCTTAAATTGTACCAAGTGGGAATGAAAATGGATCTTCAAGACATGTACCGTATCTTCTTGGTACCTAATCGTCATTCAGCAATTTTATTCTATCACGTCATTTTTACTGGAAACAAGGAAAGCAGCTTCCCAGTCATACATTTCAGAGAGGCGCATCAAACCATGGAATAAATATAAATATTTATTTAGAGCTAGCTTTAAAATCCAATGCTAAAGACTTGACCGCTGTTGAATTGAAACAATTCAGGGGATCAGTTGGTCATTTACAGTACTGCTTAATGAGAAATAGGATATCTCTGAGAGATTTCACTATCTGTACATGACACTGGCTCATATTGGACCCTTCTGGAAAGGAACAATATGTGCGCACTGAACTGCAGCGTGACCACATTTTAGATTTAATGAAGGCGAAAGCGCTCTTGTCCGCTCAGATTTAGTGAGAGCAGATAACTACTCCCGATTTAAAAGGCTGCAGAGGGCAGTTTGGAATATCTTTATTCAAAAACTGATCTAACTATTGATTTCACCCCCACACCCATGGTCTTTCACAACAATGCCCTACTTAAATAAGAAGGGTTCAATCAGAAAAGCTGAGGAGAGGCTATTTATATTGAAAGGGTTGCAGAGTGGCAGAGAACCACCGTGTTTGTATCATTATGTGAATATGAAATAGACTGATAAATGCAGATTTAATGCACTGGAGACGGTATAACAGATGGCAGACAAAATAGAAATTGCGAGTCCTATCCATAGTTCGGGTGCTATTTTTTTATGCAGGTGAAAATAGGTTTTTCCATTTTAATGAGCATCAGAGCAAGATTCAGGATATCCAGTGTGTTGATGGCTACAGAGCATTGTTCTCGTATTTCATCCGCTATATGTGTCTCCTAATTAGTTACCAATGAATACATAAGTTTGCTTTGCAAGTGGTCGAGTGCGCAATTTTAGTCTACATTTCTCATCATTTTCAGGTTCATATTTGTATTTACTCTACTGAGACGTTTCCGTGCTTTAATGTTCAAAAAGCTCTTTATTTCTCTCATACTGCCTGTGCTGCAGTACCTCTTTTTACCCTCTGTCTGAAACCAGAAACCAGAGCCCAGTCCGCTGATCGTTCAACCTCTTACAGATGTCCCACCCCTTGGCTTATCACGTACAATGTGTGGGAGCGCTAGCCAATAGAAGCGTGAGTGTTAAGTAGTGATGCCATTATGTTGTGGAAATAAACATTATTTACATGATTGATTCAAGCACTCAGGTTAAAGAATGTGTGTTGTCCCTTCTTAAATAAAATAATACAAAATGCAAATAGAGAAAGCTCTGGGATTTTAGCCTTGGCACACAATTTACATGCACAAAAACCTATACAACACACTGCATGAAAGGGAAACCCAAAAGAGCATGATAGGGCCTCTTTAATATCCCCCAACCAGCTTTTCAACCTCAGGCTACCAGCACTTTTTACAGGGATGACTGGTTTAAACTTATTCTTCCTGAAAGTCTTTTCGGTCGTAAAATGTATAAACTTTGGCAGGTGTTTCCACATACAGAGATCTGAGATCCACCTGACATAACTCCTGGTCCCCATCTTATTTTGTTTAGCAATGAGCAACAGTATGCTGTCTCCCTTCAGCCAGCACTGTGTTGGACACAATGTCAGGTGAGTTTCAAAAGCTTTCCGTCAACACTGATAATTTTAGTTTTTGAAAATACAGCTCCATCAACACCTACTCCCCACTATAACTTTGAATGCAAAGCAATAAACACAACTTGCTTGTTGTCATTGACATTGTGTCGCCAGACGACAGAAGAGTATAAAGCAGGGGTGTCAAACTCAAGTTTGATTGAGAAAGGGATGGGCGGAGTCTGGAGATGTTGAGTATGTGGAAGAAGGCAGTCCGGGTGATGTTATTTATGTGAGGTGAAAATGAGAGGGAGCTGTCCAGGATGACACCAAGGCTCTTAACTTGGCCAGAGAAGGGGATGGAGTAGCCATCAATGATGAGGTTGGAGGCAGGGGAGGATGAGGTTTTGGAGAGGGTGGTTTTGGTGCCAACCAGCAGGGCTTCGGTTTTGCTGCCGTTGAGTTTTAGAAAGTTCCTGCTCATCCAGTTCCTGATGTCCTGGAGGCAGTTGGTGAGAGAGGTTGGGGGGAGGGCAGTGTTGGGTTTGCTGGAAATGTAGACCTGGGTATCGTCGGCGTAATAGTGGAAATGGACATTATGATGATGGAGGATAGTACCAAGGGGGAGTAGGTAGATAATAAAAAAGAGTGGACCCAATACTGACCCCTGAGGAACACCATGTGAGACAGTGGAGCAGCTTGACCGTCGGGTGCTGAGACGGACATATTGTTTTCTGTCTGTGAGGTAGGATGAAAACCATGAGAGTGCAGTACCAGTCCAATGTCTGCCAAACGTTTGATAAGCAGTGGGTGTGAGATGGTGTCAAAGGCAGCTGTGAGGTCAAGGAGGATTAGGATGGTGAGCAGTCCAGATTCAGCTGCACGGAGGAGGTCGTTGGAGATTTTTACCAGCGCTGTTTCGGTGCTGTGCTTTGAGCGGAAACCCGATTGGAACGGTTCATGAAGGTTGCATTTGTCCAGGTGTTGTTGAAGTTGGTCAGCAACCACTCTTTCTAGGGTTTTTGAGATGAAGGAGAGGTTAGAGATGGGCCTGTAGTTATTCAGGTAATCTCGGTCAGCTCCAGGTTGGTGTTATTGCAGCAGTTTTGAGGTTTGGCGGTACAGTTCCAGTTGTGAGGGACACGTTAATGATTCTTGTGATCAAGGGGCAAGTAGAGGGCACACAGGCTTTAATGAGGGCAGTGGGGAGTGGGTCGAGCTGAGTAGGTTTGGATTTACGGATAAGCTCAGTGATGGAGAAGTAGCTGCTGAGAAATTGAATATAATAAGAATATAATATGTTTATTATAGTAGTAGTAGTAGTAGTAGTAGTAGTAGAACCTTTATTTATCCACGAAAATCAATTAAGAACAAATTCTTATTTACAATGATGACCTGACAGGAGGCAAAGGCTTCCTGAGGGGATGGGGTTTGGGAGGAAAAAAAATAAAAAGACAGACTCCGGGCACTACAGAACCCAGGAGACAACACAAACACATAGAGCAAGAAGAGCAAATTATACGGTTAGATGCCGCTTTACAGAAGCACATTGCCCCTAAACTACATGTCCCACAATGCATCTCAAATTAGACTTTTTTCCTCGGAATTTGACTTTTTTTTTTCACAATGTTACTTTTTTTTCAAAATGTTACTTTTTTTTCCAAATGTCACTTATTTTGTTTTGTTTTTCCAGAATTTGGCTTTTCTTTTAAAATCATTTTGTGACATGCGCACTGAAGAGACTTGCAATTGTTTGCCCTAGACTTCTGCTTTCAGACGTAGTTAATTATGAAATGATTACCCTATCCGATAATAATCCAATGCAGATGCAATAATGTTATATAATACATTATTTTATATATATTACATATTTATACTTATATAGTCTGATATATAAAACTGGCCCTTTTAGTGCAACCATGATGCTAATGTGGCCCGAGTTGAAATTGAGTTTGACACCCCTGGTATAAAATAAAACAGCAATTTCTCCAAGGCTCATAAATGCTACCTGTTAACTTTTTGCAATTTGGGTGCTGACCACATCAATCACATCGCCGTTTCACGCTTTACAAATATTCAGATAGAATAGATATATACAGGTTTGCTTCTCAGATGTCATCTGCTGTTGGCAGAGTTTGTAGGCCTGTGCACCGGCAACAGCAAAGATCAGTTTCATGTTTTCTGGTCTGTAACTTTTACATGAATGCGATGTCTCAGGATTGCCTTGACGGAATTTCTTCAAATTTGGCCCAAACCTTGACTCAAGGATGGACATATTTAAAATTGCTGATCAAAGGTCAAGATTACTGTGCCCTCACAAAACCTGTTTTAGGCCATAACTTGATAATGAATTTACTTATAGCACAATTTCATACATCTAATATGAGAAAATGATAACGTGGTTACAGTTTGGATTTAAACTGCAACTTGACGGTTCGCAGAGAATGAAAGAGTGAGGCGATAATGCTTGTCTCACAGCAGGTATACAGTATGTCATGTGCTTTTCGAAAATGGATGGGGAGGCAAATCAAAGAAGCTTTCTCTAGTTGGCAGGAAGTGGAAAGAGGCAGACCTCTGTTGCTTACTGTACACATGTGAAGACTGGAGGTGATGAAAGGACACAGCAGAGGTTCATTTTTTTGTTTTGTTCCTCCACCTCCTATGGAAGGACTTTATCTATATGGCTTCTCGGCCTCTGAAAGCAAAATTCTCTTGGCTTTAATCTTCTACAGGCAAAGTGCACAACTGCAGCTGTGAGCCATCCAGCACCTTGCTTGGAGGCACTTCGGCAGGAATAGTGCTCTCTGTACCCTCATGTATATTAAAAACTACGCTTACACACTGCAATGATTATTTTCTAATAACCACCAGGGAATAATAAGTGCAAGTTAATGAAAAAGGAGGGTAAAAAGTGTTGTTACTTAAGGGTATATAAACAGATAAGTATCTTGTTATTTAAAAGTAATACATTGTTATGTGGAGCTTTACTGTAAGGCACGAAAATGTTTTTGACAGTGAGAATACATTTTGTTCAAACCTTTTCAGGAAATGTATATGAAAAAAATGATAATAAAAGGCTGGAATAAAAGGTTTGCCCTCTGCATCTGTTATTGACCTGTAAAGTGAAGTTTGTGCTGCATTTAATGAATCCGTTTAGGAAATAGAGTGCTATATTCCACTGCAATATTTTCTCTTTCTGTTCCATTTTTCATGTGTGGTTCTGAAAAGGGCAGGCTTTTAATGTCTGCAATTTAAAATGAAAGAAGCACAAGCACATCTTGTTCCACCTCCAGTAAATGACCTTTTATGAATTGGTGAGGATTTAAAGCTCATTATTTCACACAGTTTCCCGTATTGTGTGTAACACCTGGCGAGTCTCGGCATGTTCCCATTACAGACTGTACCTCTTAAAACCCTTCTGTCACTTCCTCAAGCCTCCTCCAAGTATTAGTAAAGTACACATAAAATACTTCTGCTCCGTGTAATTCTTCTTTATACAGCAGGTTACATATTGAACCGTATTAACATGAGTGTTTTGGTTTAAAGAAAAGCCTGCTAATCTCCAAGTAAGCTATAGGTAAATCAACCTTCTGGCATTGTCACTGTTTTTGTCTCAGCTATAGTTAAAGATAGATGATTATGGATTAGACATCGTACAAGAAGCAGATTCAGTCAAGCAACATGATTTGTGGAAAACATCATTTTTAAGGACAGAGACTTTTCGTGCTTTGAGCTGAATCAGGTAAAAGCCACTTCACCTTACTGAATATTTTATCAAATCAATATGAATCACTAAGGCGGAGCTGCATACAGGGAGGGATTTAAAAACTCTAAAGACACAGTTGACATGACTTTAGGCCTTGTCACACAAAAAAAATCAGTCACCCCAACCCAAAGTAATTCATCCCAGTTCTTGAAAAGGTGCTATATATCTTTGAAAAATGTAAATCATATATCACAACTGTCAAATGTCAAGTTTTTGTGACAATTTAAACTTCAGCTAGGGAGAAACCCTGCTAATGAGCAGTGCACGTGCAAATGTTTGACACTGTCACCTCACTTACCCCTTGATTTCTTCATCATAACTCAATAAAGCCTGTTTTGACAATTTCACACAAATGTCTGAAAGGATAAAACCATGAAGCAATGACATTTTGAACAGTAATGTAAGTCATGATGAACACCTTTGAAGATGTTCTTTAACTGTCATAATACTGATTGTAGCATAAGCTGCACGATCATGTATTCTTGCACCAAGCCGCCTTACTGTCATACTGTACCCATTAAAAAATAGTGAGAAATCATGCTGTGCAACAACTATATTTTGCTCAAAGAGAGAGCTTCCTAAAAGTCCCCCACAAAGCTGCTGTGCGACAGAAGAACTGAACCGTTTAGTTCTACCAGAAATTGGACATCATGTTCCATCCTTGTCATTCTCGAAAGCCTTCCCTCCGTAGAGGAAGCCTACCTAAACCTTTCTTCTTTAGCACCGCCTTCACAAAGAGAATTGGAGATTCTATTTCAGTTCAGCTGTGCTTCATTTCAAGTAAAGGTTCAGTAGGTAAATGTAGTGGACTTAAGCACTGCACACTGACTGATATGATGATTGTGCTGTTTATATGCTCACACATTACGCCCCTGATTTACTTGAACCAACAGGTATTCAATTTAATCCAATTGAAGCATCAGTTAAACCTCATAAAAATAATCAATTCATTCAATAGCCAAGAGATTTGGGAGATTTTGGGAGATCTCCCTGAGTTTGTAATCCCGTGTTTTATTTAAATAATGATCTCAATTGACCCATAAAAACAGGACTCCATGTGTCCTGCTGAAATGTACCCTTAAACATCATTACCTACTGTAGTAGTAGTATGAGCAAAGAAAAGTGCCCGGCTTCAAAACAGCTTCAAAAATATGAACTTCACCTGAAGTCTTTATATCAAAGCTCAGAGAATAAAATAAAAAATGGCAAATTTGCTGCTGTTGTAACATTTAAATGGGCCTTTTTAAGCAGCCCTGTGCAGTTTCTGACCTATAGTTGCGCTTTTTTAACAATGATTTCTCCTTTGAATCCTATTGTTGTCGGTGTTGTGAGCAACATAATGCTTTGATTCCTGCTTCGAGTTACACGCTGTTCATCAGATTAACACTCTGTAGAAATGTTAAGAGCACAGAGAGCGACGAGCAACACCGCATGTAGCAAACATGTGTGTGTAAAGCACATGTTTAAATATTCATAAAATCAGCTTTCTTAATGTTTTATGAGAAAGGAAACCCTTCTTACACACCAACTATAGCTCGAGAATACACACAGCATTTGCTTGTTTGAAAGAAAACTCAAAACGGTACCTTTTTAGTATAATTAATATCATTTTCAAACAAGCCCACAAAACCATGTTTTGCCCTCAAAGCGTTTGGTAAAACCCCTTAGGAGAAAGGAGGGAATAAATAACGAAAGATACAAAAGGTTGGGAGATTAATTGTTCTGTGTTTGCTTCAAATTCAGATTCAGGTTTTAATAAACGGACCTTGTTTAGTGCTGAAACGCCTGCTAGTGTCAGAAGGGGAGTTTTCTAGTCTAAGTTGCGTTGTGTCAGACTGTGAGCAGGCTGTGGAAACACCTCGCTCCTTGTGGTGTCAACAATCTGCTGCTGGGAGGATACATAATAAGTCCCTCTGTGCATTGTCATCTCAGCATCTCCGCACTGATAATGCTGTTTTTTTATGCGCCTGTTCATTTGTGAACAGGAAGTGTGAATATATGAACAATATGGTAATGTGTTCACTTAACCTTTGAACAGCTTCGAGTTGGTGCAATAACATTGTTTCTTACTCATCTCTACTCTTCTCTGTGCAGCCACATACATTTACCAGCGAAAGGGTGAAAACACATTCATCCATGTTTTTATTTATTTGCTCTTATGCATCTGTACATCTGTGTTTTTCTTTTCTCTTTCTGTGAGTGAAGTGAGAGAGAAACCATGTTTTCTTTATTCATGATGTGAAATGC